AAATACGCAGATTTCTCTCTCTCCCTCACTTTAGATATTATGTTATGTTATTCATTCGTCAAACAAGCTATTATATCGGTATCTCGATAAAATCGATATATTATGACATTGCTAGATAAAGCTATTTGAAAATGTCATCCGATGGATGACATACTATGTGCCTATATAAAATATAAAAGCAATCGTTTTTGTCGCGGACTTCAATTTCGTCGATACCAAGCTTGTTCTATTTATCTTTATTGTTATACAACCTAGGTACTTACCTATTTTCTTCTGCTTATGGTTATTTGAAAACTTATACAAATCAATGTCAGCCTCACGACAATTTTTTGTCTTGGATTAATTAATAATTGATATATTTAAGAGAATCTAACGTCAAGTTCGAATTCATTTTTGCAAATCATGCAATTATTGTGAGTTCGCCAACAAACTATGTACTACACCGATGGGCGATGATATAACGAACTGTTACATTCATAGCCCATGGTTCAACACTCTCTGACCTTCATTTCGAGTGCTTACTGGTATCAACTATAAATTATTATACAGAGTTCAAAAGTTTCACACTTTGTTTGTATTCTTTTAATAAACTGTTAATATATTTTTTTCAAATATTATCATTAATAACAATTAGGCAAATTATATACCTTGATTGCATGATGTGAAAATAAGTGATTTATTAAATTGTTTAGTTTCGAAATAAAATCTATTAAAAACATAATCTTCGCAGGAATCAATTGTATTATGTAGGTAATCTATTTCCAGAAATTTTGTTTCACAATAGGCATAAACATGAATTACAGATTGAGAAAATTAGTTGTATGCACTTCCTAGCTGAGCACAACGAAAAGATAAATGTAATGTTTTGAATTAAATTGGGTTCCTACATATTATTATGAGCTATATAGCTTTTTTTCGTAGGATTAATTTTTCTTATCTTATTTTTGACAGTTAAATTATATTTGTCAAGACTTACCTAGTACCTATAGTATATTTTTCCATTAAAATAATACTTTAGATGTCGTATTATTCACATACCTAGCATAATTTTGTAATATTTTTGTTTGGTTGTTGGGCAATCAAATACCTACACACAAAAATATAGTCACCTACTTTGAGATTTTACAATATACATTATACGTTTAAACCAAAACACAATGTGTATAAGACGCATATTGTGTACACTGTCCAATTATATATTATAAAAATAAAATTGTTTTCGTAATGTCAATTGTTTTATTTTCAACGTAGTAATACGAATTCCTAAGTTTTACTTTATTGTATTATATAATATATGAATATATAATAATGTAAAATAGTAGTTTTAACCGTTTTTACCAATCATATTTTTTTGAAATCTGTTTTTTGTGGATGATTATTGTATTATCTATTGGATGCTCACATTTCGCAGAAAACATGTAGGCGCAGCCGTTGAATAAAGCAATTAATAATATATATTTGTTGAAAATTCTTAAGTTCATAATTCTATGAACACAATGAAATTAATCATGGACCATTTAAATTGTTCGGAAAAGTTGGGCACATAAATTAAAATTTGTTTAAATAAAACAATCGAAAACAAGCTAGTATTAAATAAAATTATAATTATGTTATTTGATAATAATTTTCAAATAAGTAATAAAAAGTTTTTTGACGAAGACAAATGAGGTAGGAAAATCTAAATAAAATGTATAAAAAATATATGCTACATTTATTTACTGAAAGTTTAGTGAGTTTTCAATTAGTTTAATATGATTTTAGTTTAAGATAAAATAAAATATACTCACTGTAACGTCTGACTCTATATTTTTACAACCACTTTAATATTATGTTTGTTATTCAGGTCAAAAAATAAAATTCAATAATAAGTTTTTGATTGAAAACATAAGTACCTAGATATAAGATGATTCCCACAACTATTCCAAAGAGTATTTGCTACCGTTGTTGTTTTAAAACCGTGACTTAACAAATTAACAATAAACCAATTTCTAAACTTAGTAGTAATAAGTTTTAAAAATAATGTAATATTTTTTAAATTTGTTGTTCTTGTGAAAACAATTTATCAACTGTTTGTCAAAAACCAACAAAGTTTGTAGGTAATAATTATATACTCTACATGCGGTTTCTATGTAACCCTTTCGAATGTTGTCTGTCTGGCTGACATCAATCAAGTTTTTAATATAAGGGTACCTAACATTATTTTCATTTATAAAAAATGTAGTGTTTGCGTTGTATCGTGTAGTGAATATCGTAATGGGATTAATATTTAAGCCTATGTAAAAAAAATATAAATGTTCATGGCTCGACAAGCGACGTGTGTATATAAGAATTTCCACGAAAAACAGTGAATATTATGTATTGTGTAACGAAAATTATAAAATAAAATAAACGAATAAATTGTAAATACTAAATTACAATAAAATGTTACGGTCTAAACTTTTTAAATTCATTAGTTTATTTCATATTTGTATGTTCTGCGGGCTATATTGGTTATTCAAGTTCTTCTGGTGCCTCAAATGGGTTAAAGTTTTATTACAAGAAAGAGGTATGGTTAGTGTTTTTGTAAATTTATTTCATGTTTTTTTAGTAGTAACCAAAAAAAAAAAGTATATTGTGTAGATATTTATACTATTCCATTTCAACCTATAAAATATAAATTGTTATGATAAATATTTAAATCTATCCGTAGCGTTCAAAGTATTTAGGAATGATAAAACAACCTATCATATAGATAAAATTTGGCTTGCACAATCGTTTGTCAATGACTAATAATTCAATGTGAAAGTAAAACGATCGAAAAGTCGTCGCGCGTCGCTCAAAAACTTATTCTCTCGTCACGTGTGCTCGGACCTATATAATTCAATGGCAAAAATAATAGTTGTGAGTCAATTTTTTTCTGTTGGTAAATCTGGGGACAATTCTATCATTTGACTAATTATTATTAATTATTAATCAGCAGAACCATTATAATAATATATTTCTGTGCTTTTTTTATTGAATTTTGTACCTATATCATAATTTATTACCTTACTTAAAATTATTTTAATTCGTATCATTATGCTATTGTTAATATATATTATATATTTCACTTTGTTTTGGGCTCAGGCAGTGGTCGAAATGGCTCAAGATAAGTGGAGGGATGCCTTACAATTCAGATTTAATCCGTGGCTCTAAATACGGGTATAGATAATCTGATTGCGAAACGGCCTATACGAAAAATAAAAAGTTTTCTTATACATAGGTATAAATATAAAAATCATAATAATTATTTCATTTTAAAACACAAGTCTTAGGAGGAATGCGTTATTCTAGACAAAATAAGTAGAGGGATGAAAAATGTGAATACAAAAAAGTAAAGGGATGTCATCCCTCAGTATCCCCCCAACTTCGACCACTGGGCTCAGGCCTGTATCTTATTAAAATAAAATAAAATAAAATAAAATATTGTAATTATTAATAAATGTCTCGGTAGTGAACTTATATTATGCGTTTGGATCTGTTATGTCTGTAAAATTGTAATTAATAATATATTTTATGGAGTATTTTGTGTGGATTATTATTTATTTATGATATTAAAACTATAAATAATAATAATAATGATAATGATTTACACTTATCATTATTTTTTAAAAGAAAAAAACATTTTAATGAATTATAGATATGGTAAAATATTTATAATTATTTATCTATGTTTCAGAAAACTCATTAACGGTCTTAGCGTTTGTGAGGTCTTTTGACCATCGAATTATCATCATATTTTTTATAGTGTGTCGTATATACTCGATATTATTACTGTTAAGGGCACATTTCCCTTACATGTGTTCAGTGTAAGGCCGTAGCCAGAAAATTCTGTCTAAGGCCTTGATTTTCATATTTTATTATATATATAACATGTTTATACTCAAAACCCCCCTAAATATTTTTCTGGCTACGGTCTTAGTTCAGTGGGATTCATAACATTTTTTTTTAATATGCATAGTTTATATTACGTAGTAAGCAGTTCATCTCTGTTGTAAATTCTCAGGAATTTTGAATGGGGCTTCGTTACAATGTATAAATAATATATTGTACAGTGTCTTCATTTCTCTAAAAAAAGCCTTTATTTTGGATCTTCAAATTTAATACATAATACACACTGGCTATAGGTATATTGACGTTGTATCAGTTAATAATCGTTATCTGTCGTTTTGCAACAAACTTAATATCTCCTACCGTTATTTAATATAACAATATTTAGATGTGTACTTAATCACATTATAAAACATTTTTTTTTAAATATGTAGACCGGTAAGGTGCAAGTTCCTACCTATATGTTCATTGTTCATTTGTTCCGGGCCAACCGACTTAAGAAAAGCGTGCCAAATTACTAAAATAATGGATTTTAAATACACGAATGTGTACCTTGAGCTGTCCAATTACTCCAATTCGTGTTTTGACTCCGTCTTATAAACGTATAACATATCACATATCTGTTAAGCGTAATCAATTTTGTGTCATCAGCTTTAGTATTAGAGCGAATTGGTTTTTTATCAAACTCAAAGGGAAAATAATTATGTGTGTTTTTACGACATTTTAGATTTTTAGCGTATTATAAGTGACAAGTAAGGTGTTGAGATTGAGAATTGCTGATAACTCACTTAAAAAATTGAAAAATCATGAAAAATTGACGTACAAACTCAGACGTTACGCATTGTACACGCGGGTATATGACGTGCTCTTAATAATAATGATAATATAATAATAATATAAGTAATGTTAACCTATCCTTATGTGCTGCCGCCGCGTGGGATGTGCAGGACGGCGGAAAACTCGGTCGTAGACAGCCGGGCGGCGGCGGCGGTGGAAATTCGCGCGCGCGTGCGAAAACCGCGGCGGCAAGGTACGCGCGCGCGTGCTGGTGTGTGCAATTGCCGATATTTAATACTTTCTCGGCGGCGGCGCCGTAGTGGGGCTGGTGGCCGTCGGGCCCGGCGGCGGCAACGACGGCCCGCCAGTCGTCGTAAACGAACAGCGCCAACGCCACTCACGCCGTCGCACTTACTATATACGCCGCACCGCTCGCCGCCGCAGTTTGTTTTTTCCGCGTATTTTCGTCGCCTAATCCGCCGCGCAACCGCGGTCCACCCCCGGCCGCCGCCCGCACACCCCGCCCCGAGAGTGCGCGACGGACCGCGCGGCTCGCACACACGTACGCGCAAGAAGAAGTCGTCGTTCCGCGGAAACTCCGAGGGCCGCGCACACCCGACCGACCGGAATCGGTAATTTTACGTCACCTAAGTCCGATCGAAAAATTGTCCTCCTTCGCGGGAGTAGTATTCAGTATCAGCAGTGTACATATCCAACGGCCCGTGGCCCGTCATCTGCAGTCGTATCCGTCACATCCCCCCCGCCTGGTATATACCTGGTATACCGCGCAGTGGCCGCCCCGCGTATATTATATGTTATAATATTATAATTATTGCCCTCGCGCATTATAATATATTATTGTTAACACGATAATTTTAAAATATAATACAATACTACTGTATTATTATCTGCACTACACAACAACAGCAGCCCGCCACCGCCGCCGCCGTCGCCACTGTCGCGGCGAGCCCGCGAACCGCTGCCGCATCCGCCGACAAGTCCGTTTTCCCGCCGCTCCGCAAAGGTAATGCAATTCACCTCCATCATCGCACGCCGAGCTTATTGTGTATATTATTATTATTGTTATTATTATAAGTTGATATTATTGAACGGTCCATCGCCGATTCTCCTTGTCCTCCGCACGTCGCTGTAGTTCTGTCGGCACCCGCAGTACGATGACAATATTGCGATAGGCGTTATGTTGCTCGGAGTTAACGATTTTCAAATCGGCCGCACATTATCTCATACATCGCTCTCGCGCCGCGGTGTCGTCCCGTCCGACCGTTGTACTTGCGTGCGCTGCAAACGTCCTCTCGCGGACAACAGCACAACTATGACCGCGGTGCGGCCGTACTTATAATTGTACACAATATTATTATGTATATCATTTTTTTTACCGTTTACTACTCCGTTCGTGTACACGACTGCGTACGAATGATGTATAGACGCCGGACGATAAATTATTTCGACGAACTGTGTTACACGATACCAATTAAACGCGATACGCCGTGAAATCGGATCTCGGAGTCTGTGGTTTTGTGACGAGCCCGCGCGGCCCGTCGAATCGTCCGTTTCATCTTCGTATTATTATTATTATTACATCGGTCTGCGCCGTGCACGATACCGGTGCGCGCCACCGCGCGACGATAAATCGATCTGGCGCGTGGTACGCATTTCATAGGCGTAGGTATTGGATACGATATTATTGATATCGTCATTGCTCATATTACGCGGGTAGTTGATAATCGCAATAATATCATCCCGCTGGACGATGTGATCCTTCCCGCTCCCGGATAGCGGCGGTGACAATAAAAATAAATAAATATATTTTTCGGCTACAAATCGACGACGGCGCTTACAGTGATAATATATCATTGCATATGTAATACGCGCCGTGTAGCTCGCACTCGCGCGAAATATATTTGGCTAAAATACGTTTACATATTATAATATACATTAGGTATGTATAGTATAATATGCAGTATACTACAAGCGCGCACACACAAACGCAGTACTCATATGCGCACGCAGTGACGAAACACGTCTGGAAATCCTTCACGGCGTTCCAATTTGAAACTCGTATACATAGTGTGTGTGTGTGTGTGTGTGTGTATCTACCTACAATTTTTTTTTCATCCCGGTATATCATTACGCTTACCTAGGCACGGCGGCCGTGTTATTAAATTATTTTTCTGTGGTATATATACCAGTTTTGAAAACGAGTTCCGTTTCCACGCACTTTGACGGTCGACCGATATATTATAGTGACGGAGTCGCAATTTTTTCTTCGGGCCGCGAAATAAACGGTCCTCTCGTTTTTTTTTTTTTTTTTGTTCGATTCCAATTTTTTTCACGTCCCCTCCCCTTGCACTCTGCAGCGGTCTCTTGTAACCTCGCGCGATATCACACACACACACGTCATATTCGTGCGACGGACGTTGGCAAGTGCACGTGAGCACACCTCGCGTTATCGCATCTATACTTTATCGCAATATTATTAACTATATAGCTCGGTAGGTTTGATACGATTGTAAATTGTTGTCATCGCCAAATTCATTCTCGCCACCGCGTTCCGGGGACTCTGCACCGGGTTGTACACCTTGCGAAATAGTGTTCTTCAGCGGTTTTTTCGATCGAGACGTATTATATACCTATATGTATCATGTATAGTATCGCATAATATGCTGAGACCCGCAGTTCATAATATTATAATGACTATACGGTGTAACTCTATATATCGTATATCTATTAAGGTCGGTGAATGAAAAAATAAACATGTATCTATTTTGTATTTGTAATATATAGTTATTATTATACACACACCGCGTACGGTCAAATTGCTATTGTCCAATTTCCGTTCGAATTGTGCAAAACACGCGAAAACGATTTGTTAAATAAATCGAAATAGGTCAAAAAATTTAGCCGCAGACCAACGACGCCGACCGTGTTGTAAATATAATATATATAAAATTATAACGTGTATGGATGTATATAATATATATAGATGTGTGCAATATGTAATACTCTTATATCTATGTGTGTGTTCGCGCATACGCGAATGACATATAGAGGGAAAGGCATTATACATATATTACAAATATAATATATATATATACATGGCCGTATATCGATGCGTTCGGAGTTCTGTTTACACTTTTTTTTATGCACAGGTTGTTGCCGTTTTCAGCGTTTATATATTTTCATATACCGTGTTTTATATGCCACGCTAACATTAGCACGAAAACAAAAATTAAATTACGTGTTTTCGAAAAAAAATACTCAACAGCGAACGGTAATAATATAGCGACACTGCAGATCTACACTGTTATCCACGAGCATATTACAACAATAATATGTGTGACCTAGACCCAAACTGCACACAGTTGATACGTATTATGCGTGTACGTGTCTGCGCGTTGTCTTTCGAAATAAATATTATACCTCGTTTATATAAAAAATATTGTCCGGCCGCGCATATTTAAAGGTTAAAAACCAAAGTGCAAAACGCCGTAATGGAAACTTAAGATTTTTCAGAATTTTTTTCATAATGCTTTTACTAAAAGCAATAAAAACACTAAGTCACAGATAAAATAATTCCCTCCTGTAATATATATATTGTGTAAAAATTTAAAATATCGAGTAAAATGATTAACATTCCGCGAGCACTTCAATAATCAAAATTATAATATAAAATAGAATCACCTATGTCTTTCTTGATATTTCGCTTTTTTCCATTAATGTTATAACATCACTTCGCTGTCGTGTACAATATATACGATTAGTCTATATATTCCGTGGGGGTGTACAGAAATTTTCCATGGGTGAAGGAGGGGTGGAGGGCTTTATTCATAAAAAATAAAAATTTATAGTATATACTTATTTATAAAAAACATTTTCACTCTTTTACAAAAAAAGTTAAAAAGGTAGGGACTGAACCTTCTCTCCCCTTGTGTACGCTATTGGAGTTACACAACGTATACAAGTTGGGTCCCAGGGGTTATATAGGGACCTATAGTTTACTGTATGGTTGGATCCCACAAATAATTCTAGGGTATACTCTATAGTTGGGAATATTTTTGGGTAGTTAGTAAATATTTTATCATGTCGCATTAGTTGGACGCTGTCGGTTCGACGAAATGTCAACTCATCTTTTTGTTTTTAAGCGGATCTTATCAATTTTATTGATTGCCAATGTAAAAGTAATATTGGAAAATTTGGATTTTATTACGTTTACCTACCTATCATTATTGCTGTTGTCCTTTCGTATCGTTAATCTTTTATCACGAACATCATTATATTATGTATATTGGTAATATATACAATATTTGATGCATGTTAAAATTACGTAAAGCATAAAATATCAGGGGTCTAACTAATTATGTACCTAGTACCTACAATAATTCTGGACCCAACACTCATCAAATCAGTGGTCTCGGCTTTCAACAATTGTATGTTGGCTCTGTGGATATACAAAATTTAAATATTATTTTTAAAATAAAATATTATATTTTCGTGTCGTCGTTATTATTGTTATTACTACTACTTGACACGTCGTCGTCGTACTATGTTACGTTGTTTGCCCCGAGGGATTCAATTGACATTTCAGGGACCTGTAGTTGAATGGTTTACGAATTTTGTGCATACCGTGATATAATATTATGGTAACCGGACTCGACCGAATGTTCTCCAAATGACTTGTATACGGTGGCACTATTGTGGTTAAGATCGTATAGAAGAACCGAACACCACGCGCGACATGTGTCAGTTTCGTTTTCATTTATTTTTTTACAATTACGAACTCATTCCTAGACGGCTAGACGTATTTACAACAATAGAGTTTTATAGTGAAGCTTAAAATTAATGTTTCCGCAAAAACGTTAGAAATTATTTCGGTATTCCGTTATTTAAATTAAAGACAAAATGTACTCATAATCAGCGAAAAAATTAAACTTGCTTATTTGACTCGATAATTAATTGTTTCAAATTTTGAATTTTCGACTTTAATAGGAAAAATACGAAAGAAATTAGTTTCAAAAACAAAAGCAAAACGAGTTATAGATTTCTGATTTGCCCTTGGTAATGGATGTAAATATTTCAAAAATTATGCAATACTTACTACTTTGGTACGTACATAAAAAGTTTCTTTTTATATACTTACAAGTGTTGGTATTAATTGTTATTTGTACATATTTTATACATGCAGATTTCGTTTCTGACTTTTTAAGCGCGTATGATGAATTCAATATGTTGCAGTTGAAAATTTAATTAAAATTTCAATAAATCTTTATGGCACACCTCCATTTGGTTTAAAAATGTATTTATGCCATCATTGTATCGTTGTATTTTGGCCTTTGGTTTGACGACAAATGTATATGATTTTAATAAAAAAATATCTTTTTGTGTCTACTTGTACGTTAGTTTTCAAGTTTGAACATTAAACTTGAAAATTTTTTTCGTATTAAAAATCATAATATATATGTGTTTGAGATTTCCATAATATTCATACTATTGATTACATTAAAATAGAAATTAATGTATTTTTAGAACTAAAATACCGTGTTAACTTCTTAATTGTTGACTATGTCGTTTATAGAATATATTATTTTTCTCAAACTGATACATTTTTCAGTTTTATAAATTATAATTATTATTTATTCATTTATTTTGACACCATATGGTGTTTTTATAAAAAACAATTCATATATAGGTAATGTAGCAAGATAATATTATGTAATTTAGGTCTTATGCACCAAACGTATAAAAATAGTTTTTAAGGTCTGCAAATTATTAAACAACTTTTAGTAAGAAATTTAAATCATTAAAATACAATATGGTAAAGCAAATTATTAAACAAAATAAGTTCACCTAGATATATGGTGTAGTCCACCTTCAATCTTAATATTTTTACCAGAATATCATCGTTAATTAATTTACCTACTGGAACATATAAATATTAACTATGTAGAAACATTTTATTTATTTTTAAATTATCTAAAATACAATTTTATTTTATGCCTCATCTAA